TTTTTTTTTTTTGGTGGTTTTTTGGTTTTTTCAAAATTTTTCTGGTTTACCGATAAATTTTCAAGGTTTTTCAAAATTTCTCAGATTTTTCGGAAGGATTTTTCCAAGTTTCTCAGAAATTTTAAAGAGTTATTAAGATTTTTCGAAATTTTCGTTAAATTTTCAAAATTTGATTTTTCAAAATTTTTCAAGATTTTTTGGAAATTTTCAAAATTTTTCAAGAGTTTTTGTAAGTTTTTGAATTTTCTAGAATTTTCTAAATTTTTGAGATTTGAGGTCAAATTTTCAGAAGAGATTTCCGAAATTTTTCCAAGTTTTTCGAAGATTTCATAATTTTCAAAAATTTCGAAGGATTTTCAGAACGAGTTTCCTCAAATTTTCTGAAATTTTCCAAAATTTTCGAAGATTTTCAAAATTTTCAGAAATTTTCAAAATTTTTCAGAAATTTCCCAAATTTCAATTTCAAATATTTTCAGAAAATTTCCGAAATTTTTCCAAAATTTCGAAATTTTTGCAAAATTTTCGAAATTTTTTTCGAGAATTTTTCTAATTTTCGAAAATTTTCTCCAAAATTTTCAAGTTTTTCAAAATTTTGAAATTTTCCCAAATTTCAAGTTTTCTGAAATTTTTTTTTCAAAATTTTCGAAATTTTTAAAATTTTCAGATTTTCTGATTTTTCGAAATTTTCAATTTTCGAGAATTTTTGAAATTTTTAAGATTTTTAAAATTTTCGAAATTTTCTCGGAATTTTTCAGAATTTTAATTTTCAAAATTTTCCGAAATTTTTCGAAATTTTTCCAAATTTTTCAAAATTTTCCAAAATTTTGGAGAATTACGGAAAATTCCCAAAATTTCAAAATTTACTGAAAATTTTCCGAAATTTTGATATTGCTGAAAGGATTTTCTAAATTTTCCCAAGTTTTCCGAATTTTTCAAATTTTTTGAAATTTTTCCAGGGTACCAAATTCTTGAGAATTTTCCAGAGTTTTCAAGGTATCGAAATTTTCAAAAATTTCCCAAGATTTCGTTTTCTTTCTGAATTTTTGAACAAATTTTCTAGAAAAATTTTCAAATTTTCCAAAATTTTCAAAATTTTCAAAATTTTCAAAATTTTCAAAATTTTTCGGAATTTTCTCAAAATTTTCAAGAATTTTCCCTAAAATTTCAAATTTTCCAAGTTTCTAAATTTTCAAATTACTCTCGCAAATTTTCAAATTTTTTAAGAATTTTCGAAAATTTTTTAAAATTTTCAGAATTGCAAAATTTCGAGAATTTTCAAAATTTTCGGTTGCTGAAAATTTTCCAAATTTTCAAATTTCAAGAATTTTTTCGAAAATTTTAAAAAATTTTCAAAATTTCCAAAATTTTCCAGTTTCGAAAATTCTCAAAAATTTCTAAAATTTTCAAAATTTTCAAGAAATTTTGGAAAATTTTCAGAAAATTCCCAAAAATTTTAAATTTCAAAGTATTTTCAGAAAATTTTCGAAAATTTTCCAAATTTCGAAATTTAATCGAAAAATTTTCGAAATTTTCCCAAATTTTCCAAGTTTTCTTTCAAATTTTCGAGATACCAAAAATTTTCCAAAATTTTCAAAAATTTCCAAAATTTCGAAATTTCTCAATTTCAAATTTTCAAAATTTTCCGAGAATTTTCAAAATTTTCAAAATTTTCTCGAAATTTCAATAAAGTTTTCAGTGTCTGAAATTTTGAAATTTTCCGAAATTTTCAAATTTTCGAAAATTTTCCCTAAATTTTTCGAAATTTTTCCTAAATTTTCGAAATTTTCAGATTTCTCAAGATTTTCAAAATTTTCCAAAATTTTCAAATTTCAAGTACTCTAAAATTTACCAAGATTTTCCGAAGTTTTCCCAAAAATTTTCAAAATTTTCGAAATTTTTCCAAAGGTTTTTTAGATTTTCGAGAATTTTTCAAAATTTTCCAAAAATTTTCGAAGTTTCTCAGAAATTTTCAGAATTTTAAAAATTTCAAAAATTTCAAATTTTTCAAAATTTACTTAAAAATTTTCAAAAATTTCAAAAGGTTACTCAAATTACTTTCAAAATTCTCAAAAGTTACCCAAATTACTAAGAATTTTCCAAAATTTTCAAAAATTACTCCAAATTACCAAAATTTTCAAAATTTCGAAATTTTCAAAAATTTCAAAGAATTGCACTCAAATTTTCAAAAATTACTCCAAAATTTTCAAGAATTACCAAAAATTCTTTCAAAATTTTCCAAATTTTCAAAATTTTCAAAAATTTTCAAATTTGGGAAAATCTGGTGAATTTTTTTGAAAAATCTGAAATTTTGAAAATCTGAGAAATTCTTGAATCTAGAAATTTGGGAAAAATCTAGGGAATTTTTTATGGGAAAAACTGAGAAATTCAAAAAAATTAAAAAATTTAAAAATTTCTCAGATTTTTCAAAATTTCCTAGATTTTCAAAAAAATTTCCCTAGATTTTCAAAAATTTCCTAGATTTTCCAAAAATTTTCCTAGATTTTTCAGAAATTTCCGAGATTTTCGGAAAATTTTCGAAATTTTCAAAAATTCCTCCCAAAAGAATTTTTCAGAAAATTTCCAAAATTTTTCAAAATTTCAAAAAATTTTCAAAAATTT